ATTACGTGACGGCAAGTCGATGACTGTTCATTAATAACAGACCAATGGCACGTCCGAAATTCATCGTCCTACGATACACTTGCGTCGAAATGAATGAAATAATTATTTGTAAAACAACGGCTGCTTACAGCCGCTAACATGAATTTATTACTCCTATTTAGTTACGCTTGGAATATAATTTATGCAAGTTATTTTAAATTGCAAATAAGCTAACTAGCTGTGGTGTGTGAGGCAATATAAATGGTAAATCTTACAAGACAAGCTATTATACGCGTAGCAATAATTTATAGGATTTTTAGGGCATAGATCATAAGTAGGTAAGGCCTAGTCTTTGTATCATCCGAATATTTACATTTCTAAATATTTTTGCGACGGGTCAGTGAATATTTGAAAGGTCTAAATGTATATTATTCAATACGCATAGTGTCGTCAGATCACAGCAATTAGCCATCGGACTGTGGGATTCAAGAATGCGCACAACCGTTAGCGTCCGCCTGTCTCTGCCATAGTTGGCACTCCCAGGAACACCAGCGTCCTATGGACTGACGACTGTCTTTATAATCCTCTGTTAAACATATCGATAATGTGGGCGAGGCTGTTATCATGCGAATGCTCACGTTACGTCATGCCCCTGTTGTATTTTTAAATGTTTGATATGATGCAATTGGCCAGTGGCATACAATGCACAACATTATTTATTTGTCTATGGTACGATTCGACCCAGTTGTCGTTGACAGAAATAAAAGCGGGAATACATTCATTGGTATTTGATTGAGCCATGCAAGGAATCTCACGTACGTTTTTTTTAATAATTTCAAAGTTGTCTATCAATGTCAGGCAGGATAGATTGATACAAAGCCCTTATTGTAACAGTAGCAGTCGTATTTATCACCTCGCAGTCACGGTAGATAGCTCACGTTCCCGTGTCCACACTGACACATCCCGATAAACATAATATACACAAAGCTCCGGTAATGAATACTCTGTGGAATTTACCCAGGATGTTCATTACAAACAGTACTCCATAGATAAGAATTAATACAATGCAATTAGTTTCCTGATTCGTTCTAACACAATGGCTTTAGGTTTTCCCGATTAGTAAATGTATTTAAAGCTTTGCCTTTTCTGTAGAAGGCACAGCTTATTTAAAGCTAGGAAGGGTAATATTAAAAAAAAAATGTGTAGTCTATTGAAATTTCTAATCTAAGAAAGTTGTCGCCTTTCTAAGATAATTGACTCGATGTTGTTGCCATATATCGAGCAGCCCTTCAAAATATTTACTTGGCACGCTAAAAATATCAAGCAAGTCAACGCCCTGTGCTACTGTGCGATTGGTCAAGTACCTCATCAGCATGGAGGAACAATGAGCGGATGATAACGCGTTATCTACGCCAGTCAGGGGAGGGGGACGGAGGCGCCGGAAATACGACGACTCAACATGGCGGCTTCTCGGAACGTGCGTACGCGCATCCGTCTCGAAAGTGAAGAAAACTACGTTATAGTCCGATGACCTAATACTATTTCGCAACAGAACTAATTTGTAATTATTCTATGAACTTTAAATTAGATTATTTATTGAAGTAAATACTTTAGGTAGTCTCAAAGTTATGTAAACGATATTTACAATCTTATCACTTGGAGTATGTATAGGCAAGCCAGATTATGCAGTCTACGTAACGGTACCGGTGTTATCTATACTGAAATAATTTGCATGACATTCATTACACCGAGTGCTGATTTTTTCACGCACTACGAGACCAAATAGACTTCATTACTTACCTATAACCAAGGTAGCTATGAAATAATTAGATAATAAGATTATGTTGGAACACATTGATAACCGTGTTACGTTATTTATTGTCCTCTACTATAATATCGTATTTATGGTGCCGAAGTTTTATGTACGTACAGACTTTAATGTTAAGTATTTCACGTGCGAATTCATGTCAAGATATTTCTGGACTCCCATAATCAGTGGTTGGAAGTTCTACGACACAAATCCAAGCTTGTTTGAACAGAGAAAAGAGTTAAGTCTTTAAATATTTGGTTTGCAGATAACATTATCTGGCTAAGATTTGCTACACCAGCGTCAATATTTAAATAAGTTTTCGTAATCTACTTGAAAAATGAGTTTTGTGATTTTTTGGACATTTTATCTGAGTATAAAGATGTCTTTCTTCACAAAGGAGTATTATTATCCCATATCTGTGCGTTGCCTGTGCTCCATTCATGTCTGTTTGTCTGTTCATCTGTTGGCAACTGACTAATGAGACTCTATTATTAGTGAGCGGTGTCTTCTTGTTTTCTTTTGGCCTACATGAATTATTTTCTTTATCTACGAGTTCTATAGTAGTTCTATTGATCTGAACAGCGTTTTGATTGATACAAACCTTATTTAATCTTTTAATTCTTTGTAGGAAGTACCTATATTTTCGAATTTGTTTCTAAAATTCGTTTTCAAAGGGATTCCCATGTTTTGTCTATTGGAGGCAGAATTTCGAGGTTATTGAACTATTACTGTCAAAACTGTTGGTAAAGAATGAAGCTGTCGTTCTGCAAAGACGTGATTCATAGATCCTACTTACAAGTCGGTGGATTTGATTTTTTCGCTGTGCTGAAGTGATTACATGAGAATAAACTATAAGTAGGTACATACAACTGTACAACTTTTAGCGATACAACAGTATATTGAGGAATATTAAGTAATTTAAAACAAGATAGTAACATTCCTAAATACCTAATCGCTTTCGAACAACCGTCTATCTTTGTGTAAACAATTAAACTAAATATCTCAACGACATAGTTGTATTAATACTACGCAATAGAAGGAGCAAGATAGGCTTGAATAATAATTCGAGTTTTGGAGTCAAGTGGGCGAATAGCCGCCATTTTGAAAGTTATCAGTTAGCTATTTGGCGTAGGTGAGAATTTTAAATTGTTTACGCGACTAGTTATAGTTGTAGCGTTTGCTTATTTTGTACAACGCGAGGTTTAGTGAGGTTCTAAGTGAATTAGTCATGAGAACCGAAGATAATGATATTTTTTAAGTCATTTAGGATATGTTATTATTTGGTTTTCACTTAAAGGTAATACCTCTACAATATGTCTACTGCATTTTCCTCTTGGTTTTTATTACGTTTATTCAATCTGTGGCATTTTATTACTGAGCTACAAGTACTTATTCTACAGAGTGCTCTCACAAAATCATTTTCGAAATACACATAACTGCTCGGTAGTTCACCTGCAGCAGTGTAGGCAAAAACCCGGTCCATACGACATAATCGGCCGCGAAGGACGCGTGCTAGCGTACGCGCATGTGCCGTCTCATTCACTCGTATATCGCTGTCTCGCTCATTCTGCTCTTTTAATCAGACAGGTATTGCTTTTATTATTATCTGGACCAGTCAGCAAACGAAACTGGCTTCTGAAGTATGATGAATATTATGAATATTAATTAGATGCTAATTTCTTAAGTGGACATTGCTCTGAAAGGATGGGAAGCAAATAAAAATAAATAAAATGTATGTTACATAGGAGGCAGTGCATAACAAAATATTATAGTTATGTACATACACATCTAGGTATAGCATCCAACACCTACTTTTAGCACCTAGCTTCACTGTCAGACCGACTGACTGAAAGAGAATTCAATGTTTCAAAAGTGTATTTAAATAAAGACTTCAAGTTAATATATAATTAAATACTTTAATATAAGACATGTCTTTGATGTAATTGCAAAGTGTTATTTTGTCCTCAATATGACATTATAAATGTCATAGTAAGCCATGTACTCATGGAAAATACATCTTCGCTAGCATAACAATATAAGTTATTGAAAAATACTCAAGACCAATCGATTTTCACCTTTATTATGTTGATATTAATCTAGTTATGTATATAAAATAATGATAGAAAGAAGTAGTATAATGTTTATACTGGCATTTGGGCTATGATATTGTTAGATTCATCTTTCTTATCTGCATTGATATTTTTTATGTACAAATGTAAACCTGGTAAGCGTAATTGGAAGATTTATCTTTTACAATACTTTGAAAACTAATCTTTTTAATTTTGACTTCTTGCATTTGGTAGTTAAAGTAGATTATGTTATGGGTTAGGCTTGAAAGTAATATGTAGCTAAACCATAAATTATGATATATGAATTTTCTTTGAAGAGTTTAGCTTTATTTTTGGACCATATTAATTATATGGACATATTAGTCACCATATGATTAATTTTGAGGTGAGGTACCCATTGTTCAAAGTTCAAACATGCTGTATAAGGATGGTATGTCAAAAATTTAGTGATGACTATTCTAAGTAGCATGTGTCAACAGACTGACCATAGATAAATTACATAATTAAAAGAAAAACTATTCAGCCAGTGGGTATCTTTAGGGGTAGAGTATTCTAACAAGATAATATTGTGTAATTCAAAAAGGTATTTAAACTGTCAAACACCAAGCGGTCACCGGTGACCGCAATCTATTGTTCTATAATTGTGTCTATAATGACGGTACTTGACGAGTTAATGTTTAATTTTCATCAACTAAAAGTACAAGTTTTACATAATTAATGATAACAACTTTTGGTCATTAGTATCCTCAGGTTATCTTAATGGGTACTTAATTTTAGGTGTAGACTTGAGAGGTACTTTATAACATTCTATTATTAACTGTTTATTTCAGGATTAATTCCAACTAGGTAATGTGCCAAAGACAAAACAAAATATAAAGTGAATACCCAGTAAAAATAAACTCTTATTTCAAAATTAAAAAGATTTTTGGTTATAATAACAAAGATAAACAAACGTATAAATGAATGTAGCGCCGCCGAAACTCAGGCAAGGCCGCCTTAAAATACAGATGAGTCAACATCTAAATAAAAGACAACGTTAAATAGTTTCGCAATTCCATTTTTAAATGTCGGCATGCTAAAAAAGGTGGAAACAGACTTGGTACATAGTCAATTGTTTATCTTAACTATCTTTGTATACTAACCGAAGCTTTCTGTCAGTTTTAGCATAACCCCTCCAATATGCATGTCTCCCTTCACGACCATAGTCCTCTTCTCGTCCAGGTCAGTCACGGCGATCGTGAGGTTCCACGACCCATCGCCAACAACTTCACCGTCCGCCAACATGTTTCACGAGTTCTTTTACACTTCACAATAAAATAATGTCACTTCCGAAGGAGCATCGCGAGTCGCGGCCAGAAAGTTAGAAATAAATTATTGACGCACGTCCAACAAACTCGCCAGACTTCAATCAACTGATGCAGTGTTGCCTTGCCTTGTAACTTCAAAACTTGTAAAATCAAACGTCAAAAAGAGAGTTGCCAGTGGCCAGTGGTTAAGCTGGCATATAATGGAAATAAAACGAATAAAAATAATGTCGTAGACACCTACAGTAACCTACAGTATTATTTTAGAAATTAAATTTTAAAAATAATATTTAATTTCTATTAAATAATACTTTAGTAAATACTGCACTATTCATAGTTCTCATGTCTATTTTAACGTTTTATAAAGGAATCCTACAATAATTTCCAAAGGATTGTAAATGTAATCATAGAACATCACCTAGCCCCACTTACTACCCTAGCCCCCTAATTCTAAAAATAGCTGAATTTGGGTGACGTCCTTAGAATTTGATTTGTTAGTTGTAAAAAATTCCTAGGTTCTTTAAAAACATCACAATTTATTATGATATGTATGAAAATAGTAATACCGAATGCAGCCATACAAACCTACAAAGTAAAATACACATACAGCCCTAGTTTGAGCGCAGTACCATCACTATTTCTTTTTGACATTCTTCGTGACTGACAGATGGACGCAGAGAATGAATAACCTCCGATTTTTGACGTTGTGTTTATGATTTGATGATTTCGTGATTATTTTTATCAAGAACTTTGTTGTGATTTAATTTCGTTTTGATTGAATTTAACGAAAAACTGTGCACCATATGTACTTTTATTTAGAGAAGATAATTTGCCATCCATATGAACAAAGATAAAAGAAAATCAAACGAAATGGTTGCTACAAAGAATAAAAGTAAAGGTAATTTTCTTAATTTGACCATTATACGTTAAGTTGTCTCAGATTGTGTGATAAGCAAAGTGGTTGATAAAGTTTATTTGATATAGGAAAAGTATATTATTGTATTTTGCTATCGATATGAGTTGTAATTTACGTTTTTCAGTGTTATCGTGTTCAACACCCGATCGAGCTGATTCCCCATCTAGAGATAGTGATTCCATCTGTGACTCTGAGGCAGCAAGTCCGGTACCATTTTTGTGCACTCAAGATGGAGCAGAAGGCGAAACAGATGTGGTTTGGAACTTCTACACCCCAAAGTCCGAGAACACAGGAAAATCACGAATCAAAAACTCAACGCCAGTTAGTCGGAGATCAAAAAGATCAATAAAACCTAAAATAATTGAAAGACAACCTCCAAAACGTAGAGCTCTTAAACAAAGTTTACAAAAAAAGACTGAATTATTTCAAGACCTGATAGAACTGAATCAAAATTTAGTAGAACTAATGTCAAAGAAGACCCAAAAGACATGTACAGAAAAAGTAAATTCAGCAAGCGAGGATGACTTTATGAGTGAATCACCAGAGTTCTCTCCTAAAAGCAGAGTGCGAAGTAATTCTCGATGTTTACGAAGGAATGTGTTGAGCTCTAATTTTGTAAAACCTGATCCTGAAGCAGCACTGGAATCCGATGATTCAATGAATGAATGTCTTATAAAAGCCAGTCAGGTTGTGGAAGAACATATCCTGAAGGAAGCACCTCCTGTAAAAAGGACTTGTTATGAATCGAAAGTGAAAAATAATGTAATATCTGATTTAAAATTTAAAATGGACAATGATTCAATGGATGCCATTCTGAATAGTATAAAATTGGATTCACCAGTAGTGAAGAAAGTGCAGATGTGCTCATCACCACAAATGAATAATGATTCCTTTGATAGTTTGGTTGGAAACTTGAATGATAGTGCCTTAGAAAGATTAACACAGATGCCTACAAAACTAGACACATCACGGAGTAAAAGCAAATTGAATGGTTCAAAAGATGGGAGTTCTTGGACTATAAAAGAACTTGTTGTTCATGATGCCAGTCCTTCAAGATCTATATTCGGCCGTCATAGTTCTATGCCTGTGTCACCAACTGTAACAGAAGTGACTAAACCATCAACTAGTGGAATGGCTTTTGGAAGATATAATTCAATGCCTTTTGGCAAAGAGAAAGAGTGCTCAGCAGGTTTGTATAAAGTCACTTACTTTGTTTTTATCTTTCTAACATATAGTTGTATTGTGTGTGCCTGATTAGAAATGTTTATTCTTATAATTCATGACCATAATTATACCACTTTTCAGACCAAGGAGACTCACCAATCAGATGCACCCCAGATGAAATTAAAAAGAAGCACCAGCTGGCCAGAGAAAAATTATTAGCCAAGAGACTCCTGCCATTTACATCATCACAAAAGGGTTCCCAGTCCATATTTAATTCACAACTGACCCCGCCTTTGCCAAAAATAAGTGAAGAAACTGTTCCCAACAATTTACCAAAATCAAGTGTACCAAAAAAAGTGCAATTTCAACCTAAAGTTGCTAGTAGTACAATATTACAGAAAAAACCCACACCAAATATTCAACAGAAACCTATTAGTAGTTCAGCAGACCTAAAGACAATAATTGAAAAGAAAAGACAAGAAGCTTTGATGAAATTAAGACGCAGACAAATACAAAGCAAGTGATTGGATTATTCTCATGTCTGATTTTTTATATTGAATCAAAAATTATGTTTTGTTTCATTTATATATTTTTAAATAAGACAAGTTATTGCCTAAAGTGATCTTTACATTATGCCCCGTGATAAATACCACTGAAATAAATGTTATTAAATGATTTTCGACTTTCATTGCTTTAGTATTGCAATTAATATGCTCACCCTGGATCAAAAAGTTCTGACGTTATGTTACCTATCAGTTCGTATTGTTTTTAATGTACATACTCTAAGTTTTGAATACGCATTTGGTTGCATTCATGAGTTATGAAGACTTATAGTGTTAAGCTAAAAGCCATGGTTTCAGCAATGATTTTCTTTAGTTGACATGACATGTGTCATTTACATTATGAACTGTCATTTGAATTCTTGTCTTTGTCATTGTTTATTTGTCAATGTCATCAAAGTTGAAAGTATATTTTTGTAGGTTGTGAAAGCGCATAGAAAATTAATCTAAATTAATTCTTTGGCTAGTGTTCCGTTGTTTTATAGTTATTACAATCTACGAATACTTTATTTAATATCTGAAGAAATAATCGAATGAAGAAACAACTTTACGAGTTTTAGGATCGTTGTTCTATTTGCAATCCGAAAATATTGCCAAAAATGGCACTGAATTACATTCGACAAATAGCAAGAACTTCGTACTCTATTGGGAATGTATCGAAAAATGTCCAGAGAACGATAAGTACCAGTAAACCATTAAGAATAGGTATGATACCTATAGTTGTAGAGCAAACGGGTAGAGGTGAGCGGGCTTATGACATTTACTCGCGACTTCTTCGGGAGCGCATCATTTGTCTTATGGGACCTGTAAACGATGAGATAAGCTCACTGATCGTGGCGCAGTTGTTATTCCTTCAGTCAGAATCAAGTAAAAAGCCCGTACACTTATATATCAATTCTCCCGGAGGTAATGTTACGGCTGGATTAGGTATTTACGACACGATGCAATATATTACTCCTCCAGTAGCTACATGGTGTGTGGGACAAGCCTGCAGCATGGCATCACTACTTCTGGCAGCTGGAGCTCCGGGCATGAGACATGCACTTCCAAACTCTCGCATCATGATCCATCAGCCCTCTGGAGGTGTGAGAGGCCAAGCCACAGATATACAGATCCAAGCGGAGGAGATTTTGAAGCTCAAGGCACAGATAAATACTCTGTATGTTAGACATACTGGGCTACCTATAGAGAAAGTGCAGTCTTCAATGGAGCGGGATTACTTCATGTCTCCGACTGAGGCGAAGGGCTTTGGTCTTATTGACAATGTTTTGGAGCACCCGCCATCGCATGCCATGGAGCAGCAGTGTGCCACGGGAGCTGCTGTGACTAAAGGAGTAGTCTCACCTATCAACCCTGCCACTGCTTGATGTTTGGGCACAGACAGCAATCTACATCAGCCACAAATATCCACCGTTGGTGTTTCCAGTGCTAAACTCTTGTGATAATTGACTCATTGTTATCATAGTAAATTGTATTTTATAGCAATATTTTATTTTCAATTTTATAATTTCTTTTATTTTTAAGAAATACCTTGTTTATTGAAGTAAGAGACAGGTCAGGATTTAAATATTAATAATAAAAAAAAACCATGCATGAATAAATAAATTCAATCCACCTACCAAGAATATTAACATCAGGTTTATAAGAGGTTTTTTTTACATACCAAAATGGTGGCAAAAAGGCACATATCCCACTTGATGGTAAGCGGTTACCGTGGCCTATGTAGGATTGCAACACTTTGAGTATTACATGCGCCTTGCCGATCCTTAATAAGCTATTCATGGTTTTAGAGAGATAAAATAAAATTTTCTTTTTTCTTAAAATAAATTATTTTTGTTATAATTATTATTTATACTATATAAATAAAATTCTGTTGATTGATATACCAAGCTTAAAGACCTTTGGACCTGTGGCAGAAAAAGTAATAATGATATTTACCTATAATGACAGTGTGTAATAACAAATAGAAAATTGAGATAGAAAACGGACTTAAAACTAAACAGAATAAAAAAACCAAACAAATACATACAATATATAATATAATATAATTATAATATAATATAATAATATTATAAAGAGGAAAGATTTGTATTTTTGTATGTTTGTAATGAATAAACTCAAAAACTACTGGACCGATTGCAATAATTTTTTCACCATTAGAAAGCTGCATTATTCAGAAGTAACATAGGCTATATAATATCACGCTAGGTCCTATAGTTGTGGAGCAGTAACCAAAAATGTTTTAAAAACGGGGGAAAAGTATCGTTTCTGAGGCCTTCCGTGGCGTGCGCTGAGCATATAGTTAAAGTTATACAAAAATGCTCTATAGATGAATTGTTCATAAATAAATGAAATAAGTAAATGAAGTCCGGAAAAATATTTTCAAAGGTAAATACTTCCTAAATAAAAAAAAAACAGAATAAATATAAATAAAACGTAAAACTATGTAAAAAATCTTAAGTCCCCTGTGCGAAGCCGGGACGGGCCGCTAGTACAATATATAAATAAATACATCTTTCTTTCATTATTCGTTCCGATTGCATTTGAAGAACAGAATTAGAAGTTAAGAACATTAATCGTCCAACAGAACATGTTTATTAAAATGATCAAACCTTTTTGAGGTCTTCATGTGCTGCGAAGGTTTCTATCATATGGTTCGGGTTGTTTAAACGACAACTATCAACGTAATGTGCCGCTGTAAGCTAAATATTTTGGCACCACAATTCCTTTGAGGGGAGAAAATCGTCCAATGACTTCTCCCGCCCGGGTGAGGCGAAAGGGAGTGTCAGACTCTTACTGACTAAATAAAAACCACCCCCTTCCTATTCCTGCACTTCGAGCTAGAGCCCCGGCAACCCGTTCCGCGGCTCCGTATCGGCGTCAGCCCTATTGGGCCCCATCTGTGATGGTCTGATGACTAATTCCAACGGCTGGAGCAATCTATTGACAAATATACGCAGTGAGAATATTTACTGATATGTGTATACTGATCTGTGTATATTAAACGGTTTCATGGCTGTGGCACACCCCATAATTAGGGCACAAAATATAAAAAGAAACTTTTGTGAAAACCCTATACCTAATCTTTGATTATAATTATAATTTTACGTAGCCTCGGTCTATGGAAGATTGTTGCTTTTAATTTTCATTTACGACCGTCATTAGTATGAAGTCCCCTTATTACGAGGTTATCAAAAATTATACGATTGGATTGGTTTTTTTATTACCTATCGGACGCTTTTCAGGGTTGTCCGCCTCTCACCAGCCTCACATGTGTCCGATCTCATGAGGATATAGAGTGTAGGTTTGTAAGTTAACCATTTCTGATAGGATTTAGATCTGATAGGAGTATCACGCCACGAAGAATATCTTGAAAATTTTAAATCTTATAGGTACTAGGGTGGGTGCCCTATGATCTACTATCACCAGTTATGGTAATCTTATTGTAATAGGGACGACTTAATTAATAAGTATCGAACACAGTAGGAATTAGGATAGCATGTATGTGAGGAGGGTGACTTCATGCATGTGAGGTTCTGATTGTTGAGAACCGAAAGTATTAAATTTATTTTTTTTCTTTTAGCTTCTGTCCGCGGTTTTGCTCGCGTTCCCGTGGAATAAAAAGAAGCCTATTCCAGATCATAATCTATCTATCTCTGTTTCAAAATTCAACCTGGTCCCTTTAGCCGTTTTTATGTGACTGAGTAACAAAATATACCTACTCTACTTACACATAAAGTCGAACTTTTACATTCATAATATTAGTAAGAGTTAGTAAGACATTTAAATCTTTTTAACGATGTGCCCATTTCTCCTTCATGGGTAAAGACGGTAAACGAGCAGACGGATCACCTAATGGTACGGTAAACAATCGCCGTCGCCCATGGCCACCTGAAACATCAGTGGCGTTACAAATACGTTACCGGCCTTTTGGACATTAGGAATTTAAGGTTTGTCGGGGGTTCAGGGATTGGCGAGATTGGGAAAGGGAGGTTCTCCGGTAACCTCACTCACACGACGAAACACAAAGCAAGCGTTGTTTCACGTCGGTTTTCTCCGGTCGCGCCGGCCCATTCGTGCTGAAGCCTGGCTTTCCCACACTTTAATAATATATGAATGAAAAAAGAAGAAAAAGAAATTGGCAATTGGCACACAAAATAAAGATTATAAAAATACATAATTACCTACAAAATATTAATAATACCTACACTTAAAGGAGTAAAGAAAGGAACAAAAAACATCAAATAAAATTATATAGAACATATATATATATTATGTCTGTTGGGAATCTTTGAAGGTAGAAGAAAATTTAGTTTAGTAGGTATAAAAGACGTGTCGAATGCATAAAAGCTCTTTTCGTTCGAGATTGGTCGGACCAGGAATACGCCTGTCCTGGCAACCAATAGTTTGTTTGTTTTTTTAATTTGAGGTTAAATAACTTCGTCACAATTATCTAGTCGTTCTAATTACATTTTTCTTAAAGTTTGCCGTTGTATTTTTCTTCTTAAAACATAAGTTTACACCTGTTTTCTAATAATATAATTTTAATGATTTATGATATGAATGAATATTCGTTGGAACTCTTCTTAATCGTACCCAAGGGAAATGAATGGCGTTCGGCGTACACATTACGAATTTCGATATATCAAGGTACCTGGACTAATCCCACCTTTTTCCAGTGAAAAGTATAATCCCACTTTTCCCCGGAGAGGTACATAGAACTGTCTGTTTGTAAGGCTTACTTATCAACTGGAAGTTAACGTACATATATTTATTTTTGTTCAGAAAGTTGCGAAGTATTTTGTGAGGCTTCAATGTTTATTGAAGCCTCTATCTATTGAATATCTACGTAGATAATTTTGTAGACATCATTAAGTATCATTCCAGTTCGTTTTTATAACTGCTGCTTTTGATTCTAAGAAGATCTACTACCTAAATTATTGCTTTGTATTATTTCCTAGTCTTAAGTTACTAGGCAAAGACTTTTTTTAATACCATTGCCCCACTCTATGGTTTTCTCCTGTATCGTGGGTGCGTTTACAAACATACAAGTTCACATACACATGACACCCAGACCCGGAACAACAATTTGTGGATCACATAAAGTGTTAATCCGCAGGAATCGAACCCGTGCAGTCAGACTAAGTTCCTAAGAACGATATTAAATCTATATACACATAGTGAGTCAGTTAAACTATATAATTAAATCAAGGTACCTATCTAATAACGCAAACAAAAATCTGATGATGTAAAACATGAATCATCAGCAAATCCAAAATGGTTGTGGCTTTCCCAAAACTTCTCTTGTTAGTACTTTGGACTTATTTATAAAAGTAATTCTCTTAAAGTTTATCAGTTAACAAGTCTCGAAGCGTTAACCGCAGACTCACGCGACACGATTTCATAAGAGCCTGTCCATCAAGTTAATTAACTGAAGGCTCTCGGCTGAGATTAGAAAAGTTTATTTCTACTTAGTAAACTCGAGTTTTCCCTAACGTATACACTGAAATGAAATACAACAACTTATCTATAAAGTGTCGGTGCCTATCAAAATATGTCAAGTGCGTGGTAGCCATCAAACAAGCACTACACACAAAGGCACTTACTCCGAGATGTAAATTATAGTTCGAAGCCTTATTACCGTGAACAAGGTCAGCTTGAAGATGGGCCGCGCTAAACGGAACAGCGTGAATCTAGGTTGTTTCATCCAAAACAATGGTAGTGGCGCATGGCGGCGCGAGCGGGTGAGCCATCCTTTCATAATCTGTGAAAAGGCTGGACGTCGCTGAGGGGAGCTGCTTGAATGATGGAGCTGGCGCATGCGCCGGGTGCGGGTCGATACTTGGTGACGTCAGCCGCGGAGGGGTCTCAGTCAGCCGCTGTCGGCCACAGCGCGAACATGTGGTTGCAATGCTTGGCTGCGACGTTGCTCATCGCCGCTGCCGCGTCCCGCGAGGTCTTCACCAACACGTTCCTCGTGCGCTTCAAGCGCTCCGTGCAGCACGACGAGGCCCACCAGCTAGCGCTGCGCCACGGCTTCGACAGCCTCGGACCGGTGAGTGCCGACCACGTGATTATACGTAAACATACCCATAGACACTGATATTTTGCGCCAGTATAACTTGATTTATGTCGAGGAATATTCCTAAATTCCCTAAATCGCTGGCATTTCATTGCGACAAGGTTTTAGTAATTGATGGTGTCCATTAATAAGGCTGGTGTGGTTATGATATACCGTGTTGATTGTTATGGCTTCGTATGTATCTAAGGTTTATTTTTTGGTAGTTGAGACCGATTAGTCGTTAGTTTTTATCGCCATAGACAAAGAAGAGGTTTGTTGGGAGAAAAACAATATGAATTGCGTTTAATTTGTGTGGCGGGCTACGATTTAAGGATGGGTTACAAGTTGCAGTGACAGGTAGGTACCATGGACATTATTCGAATTTTAAAATTACACATATACATAGTTTTAACTTATCAGTTTGGTTAGTTAATTCAGTATTTTATCTGTGAGATGTATCAAGCAGGATATATCTTGCTGGAAAACCCAGCTACATCCCTGTCAATGTGTTTGTTGGGCACTTAGCTAGTAGTGTCGGCGCGCGAATCACACTTAACGTAAACATTGTTACCGCAGGACGGTAACGAGGTTTTCGTTTCACATTTTCTATCTACAACTTTATGTGTATATATGCAAATATAGTTATTCTACGTTATCTAAATAATAAAAAAAAATGTACAGAGTTTCGAGCTCTTAATATTTGAAAATAGAACAAAGGTTGTCGTTTTTTTTAATACAAAAGCAGAAAGTAAAGATATATGGCCTGTATGGTATGGTTTTCTGGGCCGTAGTCGGTTAAATATTACTTGTTTTTTTTTCTTAATGGTATGTGGTACCTACCTGGATATATTACTGTTTTATGATATGTATAAGGATATTTAACATTACTTAATAAAGAAAGTCGTAACTTGTACACGCCTTCCGAAAGTAAACGACGGTTATATGAAATGAAAATACTTATCACTTTTGCAAGTAAGTACCCACCTACATTTTTTTACGTACTTAAGTAGGTACTACATGATGTTTTCAGAATGAATAATACAATTAATGAGAATAATTTATTATTTAGTAACATAACAGGAAAAGTGGGTGTTACAAAACATAAAAACAAAAAGTCATATTGTTAAAAAAAATTATTATACTAATTAATCTATTCATTTATACATATGTATATCTACTAATTTAATTTTCTGGAGATGAAAAGTAGTCTATATAAGTATTTACTATTTTAGAATTGAATCTATATCTATGCCAAATATCAATTAAATTCGTTCACAATTGTTTGAGTAATCAATCTAACCTTTCAAACTTTACAATTAGAAAAAAAACTTGGCTGATTGTCTATGGTGCTGTTGCTACGCTGTAAGCATAGAGTAGACTCTTATCTATGTCTACTAAGGCTGTATGTAAGATAAACGAGGTCATTTCCCGACACGACATTAAGCATTCAGTTTGAATCCGCTGTAGGGTTGCCCTTCAGTTGTAGGGGAGTTTAGGCTGACGATATTATGGCGTGGTAACCCTAACTTGCAAAACTTTTGGTCAAATATTCAAACGCCATTTAATTTTATGACTGTTTCGAGAATAGTTCTGTCACTACAAATTCTTTTAAAATGACTGAGATAGCACGTTATTTAAGTACAATTTGAAATTGAACAGTATTACATTTTAAGGCAGAATAAGAAATGTTTGGAGGGTATAATACAGTCCTAATTAGAATGTCGGGTAATAAAATGGTTAAATTCAAAGTCAAAGTCAAAATCATTTATTACAATTAGACCAGAAGGCAAGGAAAAAGTGAAGCTAATTGCACATTCCAAGGTGTAGATTCCTATGGAGAAGAACGAGCAAGAAACTCCATAGGTTTTCTTCTTAACTTTTCCAGTCAGGTTCACAATACAATTCTCCAGTTACTCAGTTTTATTGGTTCGATTGTGCGAGAACAATGTAACATCAGAATCCAGTCAATGAGATATCTTAGAGTTTAGAGATATCTTTCACATCTTAGTCGTCTTCTTTAGCAGACAAGTGTAAAAAATAGCCAAAGATAAAAATATAAAATATCTGTAGGCACAGATTATTACTAGAATGGACTCATAATTGGACGAAAATGTTACCTAAATATCTTTTTAGACATTTTATTTTACAAGGATTTTAGGATTTTTTTCTCAATAAATTATCGCAATTTATTAGGTACTTTAGAACAGTTGGACATTTGTAAAACAAGGAATAGCTGAGAAAAACAAACAAAACAAAAAACCTTCAAACCTTCAAAAAAAGAGCGTATTCCTTTTTAAAAGGCCGGCAGGAGTCCACTGGTGTTGCGGGTGTAAATGGGCGGCGCTGATCGCTTACCATCAGGTGATCCGTCTGCTCGTTTGCCTCCAATTCCATAGAAAAAGGGAGAAAACAGATTATATCTTTTCTTTTACATGCAAACATGTTATTCCACACTGGGAATGTCTTTCGAGTCGCCGATGCGTTTTATACGTCATATATGTACAACCCGTTACGGATTAATATTTACTAAATACTCCACCGCGGTTTTAATCACTGCTCTGCTCCTCTTATTCGTGGCATGAAGCCGATAGCCTTCCTCGATATATGGTTAGTTCCGGAGTTTAGTGCTTTTAAACAAGCAAGCACTTCATCTTTATTTATTAAAGTATAAATTTATCAACAACGAGAATTATTATTATATAACCGATATTTTAAAATTACTTTTTCATTATTATAGGATTAAGTCCTTACTCTCTCTGAAGCGTAGTATTCTAGACTTTCTTTTTATGAAGATTTTAATTGGATACTACAGAACCCTATAACGGAGAAGTAATTAATAGAAGCCATTTTATATCTGGCTTGGAGCTTCACACTCTTTTATTGTAGAAAATGTATTTGTGATATATAACATTCTGGGATGGGGCCTACTGTATTTTTGCTCATGAGATGACACTTTTTTATACCACGACGGTGGTAAAAATAGGTCACGGATCACCTGATGGTAAGCAATCGGCGCCGCCCATGGACACCCGAAACACTAAGGCGTGCACAAGTGCATTACCGGCCTTTTGGGAATTGGGAATTTGAAGATTGTGGAGGGTACGGGGATTCGGGAGACTAGGGAGGGGGTAATTGGGCCTCCGGAAACCTCACTCATACGACGAAACACAACGCAAGCGTTGTTTAACGTAGGTTTTTTGTGAGGCCGTAGTACCACTCCGGTCGAGTCGGCCCATTCGTGCCGAAGCATGGCTCTCCCACACTTGAGATTTCATATTGATTTGAAGATTCAATAATTTTAAAAGCTTACATTTAATTAATTATTTTTTATTAAATGACACTAAAGGCGTGAAATATCAAAAGTTTTACTGTTAATTAAGTTTAAGTTAGAAATACCAATTTCAATTCCTTTCGGCGTTTGCTGAAAACCAAGAGACCAATGAAAATAAAATAATTCAGTAACTATTTTATTTCGTTAGGCAAACGCTTAAACAATATTTGAAATGAAACCATTCCAGTGGCACGTGCAGAATTAACACTGGATATTGGACCGTACTCAATTCTTATAAAGTTTAATTTTACATGAATGTACAAGTTTGTTATTATAAACTTGTTTCTACCAGCGGCTTTGCCCGCATCACGTGGGATAAAAGCAGCCTATGTATTATTCCATACCATAACCAATCCTTGTCCACAACATCTCGATTCAGCCATTTTTGACGTGTTTAAGTAATTAACATGAAAAGATAACTTAAATAGATATTAGCGTTTGCCCCCGACTTTTTCCGTTTTTCCAGTTCCCGTTCGTGATTATCGGTAAAAGTAAAAAAAAACTGTAGGTATTAGATTAAGTGTATCCTATGTCCGTCTCCTGGTTTTAAGCTAACTCCCTACAATTTTCATCTAAATCGATTTAATCGTTCTAGAGTTATAAATAGTGTAACTAACACGACTTTTTATACATATATAGATATAGAGATGATTAATATTTTTAATTATTATAGTATATAAG